AAGACCCTTTCCTTTTCGACTGTGCCCCTGTGCTCAATGCAAGCTCCATAAAGACATGGCTTGATAAGTCTGGTGAGGAGGAACTCCAGTGGCCTACAAAGAATCCTGATCTCAACCCCACTGAACACCTTTGAGATGAACTGGAACCTCAACTGCGAGCCAGTCTCTGTGGTCCAACATCAGTGCCTGACCTCACAAATGCTCTTTTGACTGAATTTCCACAGACACACTCCAAAATCTTGTAGAAAGCTCTTCCAGAGGAGTGGAGGCTGATATAGAGGGGGGCAACTTCATATTTATACCCATGGTTTTGGAACAGGACTTCCAACAAGCTCATATAGGTGTAGCGGTCAGATGTCCACAAACATTTGACCATATAGTCTGGGTAGCAAGATGGTTTATCTGCCGATTTGGCCACTTTATTTGTCCTTTAGTAAACACATGGACTTCCAACAAGCTCATATAGAGGGTCAGATATCCACATGCTTTTGACCATATAGTGTGGGAAGCAAGATCTGCCAATCTGGCCACTTTATGCATGTCCTATAATAGACACTTACAATCAAAATCTAAAATAAAATATACAATTACATGGTTAATTACAATTAATTACATGACAATTACTTGTCAGATAAACCTGAGGATTGTGGCAGGCCTAGTTCTACGCCACTCAAACTGAGTGACAGTTGCACACATCCCATCTTTCTACAGCACTGAAAACACAGCCTTATTCAGAACATCTGCTACATAAATCAGTCCCAGTGGTGGAGACCCCATGCTCTGCCGATTTCTCTGTTTTTTTCCTCACCTGACCCGACTCTCAGAGGGCTTTATAATCGTCTGATGAGCTGAAACAGGTGCATTACAGCAGGGAAAACCGCAAAAACGTGCAGCGCACATCATGAGGATGCTAGGACTGCGACTTGAACCGCTGCTGTGAATATTAACGTGAAGCAGAGGATGAATAAGTGATGAAGAAGGGCTGGGAGAGGTGAGCAGCTCAGCTGTTGTTTTTCTCTCCTCTTCCTCCACCCTCCCCATCTTCAAAGAAATCCCACCAACATGCTCCGCCCTCTGCCCCGTCCGTGTGCTCTTTCTGAGCGAATACGACCACGTGTGGCTCTTCCCCACCCAGCCGTCACCGCATCTGTACACCTCGCTGTACGATCTATACGCCAAAGCAGAGAGCGGAATAGATTTGTTCAATTTCACAGTGCAGTCTGCCGGGAGAAGCTGTGGTGCTACAAAGCCTTACAGCACTTTGGTTTGATATCATTGTTCCAGCTTCAAACGCACTGAGCAGCTTTCATTAAGTTTCATTCATTTCATTAAAGTCAGTACAAGAGCTGAAACGTCTGCTAACAAAAAGCAGACACTCTGCAGTCGAAACCTCGCAGATGATTCCAAATTCATCTGTGATGTCTACAAACAACTCCAGCCACTCTCCTACCCATGAATATTAAAGGAACGGTTTAGCAACCAATTTACAAGTTTCCCTGTTACTCCAAATGAGGTCAATTTGCTAAGACATGTTTGATGTTTTCTTCCCTAATTTTCCACTATGAGACTAATTTCTAGTAAAAATGACACTGACTTTAAATTATTCATTTTTCAGCACCAGGACAAGTAAGCAGAAAAAAGCAGAAGCATATTTAACCCCTTAAAATCCCAGGCTTATTAACTACAAAGGCTTATTATTCAGTAACTAGATGGAATACAATGCAAACTGGCTGTTATTCTTAGGTTACAGAAGTGTGTAGTAAAACTTTGGACCTGCCTGTACAGCCATAAGGGGTTAACAGAAAGGCCAAATCCCATTTCTTATTTTTACCCCTACCACTTGTTTTCGAGTGTCATCTTGCCACTTGGAAGTTACAAGGGCTAGTGGTTGAAATCTTCCCCTATGAGACGGGACAACTCTCAAATGAAAAAAGAACCTTACTTCATTAACAGGTGGTGCTCTGTAGGTGACCCTGCCAGTCTGCAGTGATAGCAGAGGAGGGTAAAGTTCAGCAGCCTTGCTGCTGAGCTTTAGTTACATTTAGGATCAATCATATGCCTTCAAAGAGGGGGATGAGACGATTATTTATTATCGCCCACCCCTAATTTTTTGTTGATATGAAGCTGAATTCAGCTAATCGCCAGCTTCTTGTTCAAATTTTTCCATTCCACCTTAAATGGTGCAGCATTTCTGATGCCTGAGGCGCCAGAATGTAACTGCTGCACCTTTTAGGTGGAACAGGAAATTGAGCTAGCTACCTACCGAGACATCAGCAAACTACTAGCGATTTTTTATTCTTGGTATAAAAAAAAAGTACCATAATACACTGAAATGACATTAAACTAAGAAAATACAATGGTTATCGTATTTAACAGAGAAAATTCTCACATTTGTGGGTTTTTTGGTCGCTTTCGCTCCATCTTGCTGGTTTTTCTTTTTTTTCTCATAACACTCCTTTGGAGTGTGCTTCTGAGAAACCTCCTTTCGGCGGGCCATGTAGCCCTAACACTTCGCCCTACCCTTCTATCTCAGCAAAAATCAGGACACCCTACCCCCTAGGAATGAATGCGCAATACGCAGGGGTAAGGTCTAAGTGGTAGGGGACAGGAGTAAAATAGGTTTGGGTCTAAGTGACACAGAAGTCTAAATAATTAAATATAAGTTTTTCAGTATTTTTGTATGTTCACTATTAGCCTTTATTGCAGCTTCTGTTCTTTTCTGGTGGATCACTTTCAGTTTTTTAAAGTTATCTTCAACCTCCAAAGTTCAGTCTTTGATGTTGGTTGCATTTTCACAATTCAAGTAATCCCAATTACACATTTAGAGTATCAGCATAAAACCTTATTTCACATATCAGATGTCCAGTTTTAGTGTTCTTGTGCAAATCTTCTTATTTGTCTTATTTCCTTTTCTTAGTAATGTCTTTTTGACAGCTACACATACATTCAGACCCATAACACTGAGTCTCTCTCAAAGATGAAAGCTTTAAGTGCTGTTTATCTAATGGGGACAGTTTTGGTGTCTACTAGGTCTTCCAGGTGGTTGTTAGGAGTCCTATTGTCTCTGTAGCTTTAAATCATTTTTTAAACTTTTAGTAACTCCTTTTCTCCTTTGACTTTCTCGTTTCTAACACAAGTGGATTATCTGATGTCTAATCTCAGAAATATCTCCTGAAAAATGAATAACGTACTTAAATGTTCTCTGAGTTTTGCACAGCGCCGAAGTTATTAAGCCATGTCAGCTTATAGCATTTTGCAAACTGTGCCGAAATCATCACACACTTGCTTCAAACCATGTAGAGTTGGGTGACCACATTTGGAGTATGGGGGAGGGAACTGTTTACATTAGATTTTAAAGGCAGATTTTATTCAGATCTGTGCCAATTCAGCACATTTATTATTTCTCAGAAATGCTGCAGTATTAATATGTGCACATCACAGGACATGCGCAAATCCTGTGTAATGCTGGTTGGTTTAGCCGCTGTGTAATCCTTGTTGCATCACACGATTGCTGCTGAAGTTGCAATTTCAGAGCCACTGTTCGAGGGTTAAACTCCCAGCGCCAGTGCAAATCACATATATCACACATACATTTGTACATATAAGCCAGCTATCAATGCATCAGGATCATCCTATTGAAAAACTCTATCAAATGAAGACCAGGAATATTCCACTGCACGGAGGACGCAACTCAGCAGAGGGCCAGCCAGCACCAAAAGGATCACACTGGAATTGAATGGATGCTTATGAAAACATGAAAATGCTTTAAACACTGCAGTATGTCTTTGCCATATAATTGGTCTGTTATTGTATAATGAAAACAGGCATCCTATTTCATAATAAACGGTTTCCAAATAAAAAGGCAACTTGAAAAGCCAAGTGTTGCAAAAAAGATAAGCGAGTTTGATACCTGTAAAAATAACAACAGCATTATTATTATTAGGTGCAGAAAACAGTGATGCACCTGACCACCAAAAACTGTGTTTTCAGACAAACTTTTGGCAACTAAAAAAAAAAAAAGGATTAAAATGGGAATTCCACTGAATTCTGGTCCTGTGGTGCTGATAGGAACCAGACGTCTGAAGAGTTTAACACTATTAAAAGCTCCCTCACAGAAAGTTATTACATTAAATTGTTTCGAATAAACCATAAAGTCCGAGCCATTGTTTCATGATAGTGTTGAAAAGGTTTTGGCCTATTTAAAAATACATTCTTGGTGTAGAGGTACATGTAGGGTACATGCAGAAACAGTTCCCAAAGAAAACATGTATTTTTCAGATTTACCAGTGTTCTGCCATCATCATCACTACATATAAAAACTCAGAAGACAAGTGTAGGTGCACTGGTGATTTTGGATAGTTCATAAAATGGCTATATTTGTGTTGTATTCACGGTGACCCCTGGTTCCTATCACCACCACCACTGTGAAGAAATCAGAGTTGGTAAATTTCTCTACAATGAACCACATCACATCAACCACTCTGAATGAGTTCGATTACACATTAAGATTGAATTATTCTGAAATTTAGAAAATCATTGGGATTCCCCTTTAAACAGGCACTCAAAAAAGTGTCAAACATTACAATTCATTTTAATGGTGATTCAAATATCATTGTGCATCCTTAGTTCAAACAGTTGGACCAGCAGCAGGTCAACAGTGAAAATGTGTCCATGTGAAATTATTTCATGGTTTCTACAAGGAACATTAAACAAGGGATTTGTAATCAAGGGATTTGTAATCAGGAGGGGGTGCGATCCTTTTAAAGCTTCTCTGTGTTTTCAGTTTCGGTTTTTGGCACAATTTCATTTCAGTGAAAATCACTAGCCGAAAGATTAGCCATTATTTACACGCAAATTTTAGGTCACAAAATCATACCACAGTCGTGACACTAACATCTAGTCTCTTTAAGGACTCTTAAAAACATGCCTGCTAAAGAAAGCTATGCTATGTGACTGTACTCTATGTGCAGGAAGCACTCTGCAGAAGATGCAGCACTCACCGATAGCTGTAGGGTGAAGGAGCTCCTTTATCTTCCAGACACAAACCTGGAACAAAAGCAAAGAGAGAAGCATGAGAGAGAAGATCTATCACCCCTGCCCAGCAGAGACAGCCTTGATCCATCAGCTCTCTGCGCTTCAGAGCAAAATTTAGGCTTTTGCAGCAACACTGAAAGCAACAATGCAGGACCTGCCACTAGAAACTCAACTTTGTAGATGAAAAGAAATAAACATGAATGAAAGAGAAAATCCCAAACATGGCTGTCTATCCTCACAAACACCACAGACACTGCTGATTAGGTGGTCCCTCACTGCTTTTGTGTTGTGTTTATATGCATCCCTGACCATCTCCAAAGGTGATCAGATCACAAAGAAATGCATTGGCCTCGCTGTCATCACCTTTACACCTTTAAGAATAATTATAACCTTGTCTACATGCAGCATGAGAGGAAAAAAACAAATAAAACAGCATTAAAGTCTTTTCACAGTAGCCACAAAATGCAATTTTTGCTTGTTTTGGAGGAGGACCACCTGTTGAACTGTGTATTTTGTTCTTCAGTAATGTTGATGGAATATATTTTGATGGAAATGTGTAAGATTTACAAAACTGGAAGCCTCCAGTTTAGGTGTGAAAGCAACGTCAGGGCGCCCTCATTCCTCCCCTTTCACCCCTTAATGCTCACTAGCAGCTCAATAGACAACAGTGTCCCAGTTCATCTGATTAACTAGCACCAAAAAGGGTTCCACTATTGTTACAAGCCAAAAAACCTTTTGCTACTATATAGAACCCTATTTGCTAAGAGTGCAGGGTTAGAGTTATGGTGAACGATATTATATTTGATGATATAAATCACAAACATCACAGTCCATTTCAGCATAATCGCCACTAGGGGGTCTACAGAAAAACTAAAATCATCATAGCGACTCTGCACCTGAATGAGATCTCATCTCTCTTACATGAATGGGAATTAGCAGAGCTGCTGTTGCTGGACAAGACAATCTCAATCTCCATCTACTCCTAGTGCTGTAAACGGTCCCTGCTTAATTAGCCTACAGACACTATGGTATGCAGTCAGTTGATAAGGTAAGAAATTGTGTGTAAAGTTATTGAGTTATGAAATGCTTTTCCCCTCTGGTTGCCATGGCCTCCTGGAATGATGCTGTAGTAGAACCACTTTTGATTTTCTAAAGAACCTTTCAGTGCATGTTTATGTAAAGAACTGTATTTTGTGAATTTGCTAATGAGCGAGAGTAAAAAACCTTTATAAGAACCTACACATAATATAAGGTTCTAAACCAATTCAATGTTTTTCCTTGAACCATACATTCAAGCCAAGAATCATTTAAGAACTTGACTTTTAATGGACGTTCTTTAATGGGCATAAACTAGCTTTTAGTACACATTATGTAGCATTTGTAGCTTTGTATGCCTCAGCCTCATCAGTTTGACAGAAATCACAATTTTATATCATTTTTATGTTTTCATTCATTAATGTTCTCTCACTACAATACCCAGCATGCTTTACACACATACGTCATAGAACCGTTGGGAATCCCTGTGGCATCAATCCGGACTGCTAGATTAACCACTGATCTAAAGGCTAACAAATACAACAAAGCTAGCAGTGGTGTAACTCTTACATCGGTCATTTTTTATTCTTTTGACCAGAAAAGAGGAGCCAAACTGGGGCAAGATATCCAGATAGCCAGGTTGCTGCCTTGCTAACTTTAGCTTTTAGCTTGTTGTCCTCATCGTCTGATGAGTCATTTCTAGCACTCACATAATCCATTCTCCAATAAGACATTCAGCTTCCTAGCAGTAGCGTCAGCTATCTGGCTTCTTCCTGCATTACCAGCTAGTTAAAATAAGAACTTTTTTTACAACCGGCCCCCAAAAAAAATCGACCCCAGAGGAGCTGAAATGTATCCTCCCACCTATAAGATACATCAGCAGAAGGGGGTTTTCTTAGTCTTCAAAACTGAAAATCTCACTGCAGCAGCACGGTAGAATGCAAGTAGGTACGTTTACAACAGATGTAGACATGGTGACAATTTTTTATTTTGGCCTTATGTTACGGGACGGGAGGGAGGTGGACCCAAGTGCAGAGAGGACAACCTGTGAGAAAGGATCTTAAATGAATTAATGAGGTGATGGAGTGCAAATGGAGTGGTTCTGCATGTTGGGGTTGAGGTGGCTCAGAGCCAGGCTCGTCCGAGAGTTACCGCTGCGCCACCGGGAAGCAAAGACGAAAACGGGAAAAACACGTCAATAAATGGGAATGAAAAAATGGAAGGAAAGGGCAGACAAAGAGGACGCTAATAACAGTGTGTTCAAACAAAGGCTGAGATAGAAAAGTAAAATAAAAGATAAATCAGAAAACAAAAGACTTCCTCTGTGATTATGAGAGGAAGATCAGTTTTATGTTTCACCTGTTTGTTCTTTGTAGAACAAACACTTTTTGTTTGGCTTGGAACCGTTTCTTGTTTAAGCCTTCTTTTTGTCTTTTAAGTAGTTTTGGGGCAATTTATTCTTTTTTAGCCCTCTTTTTCTTCTTTCTATTGTTTTCGGGGCAATTTTTCTTTTCTTTTCATGAACAACACTGAGTACCGACCGACACTGAGTACCGGTCACCCCTCTACAAAAGTGTGACAAAGCGTTGCTGTTTGCCACGGCCTTAAGTAGAGGAGACCACAGGTGTGCCAGATTGGGCCTAATCAGCCCGAGGGCTTCTGGGAATTGGAGTTCTCTGAACTGGTGTCGCCTCGCCGCCGTCACCCTCTGCTGGTGGCCAGCGGCACAGGCTGGATCCTAACTCCTAAGTGTCTATTTAAGGGTGTAACAGAGGTACATTTTCTAATACCCGCTAAAATAAAGTAGGCTAGACGGTGGTTGTCATCCTTGCAATGTCCCAGAGACTTAATGCCTGCTATCTGTAACCAGGACCCACAAAATCAGATTGTGGCTATGCCACTGCACTGCAGGCTTTATGTCTAATGCAATTGCACATTTTCCCTCAGCTTCGAACAAGCTATCAGCGCTACACATCATACGTCTCTGGGGAGCTCGCGTCAGGCATCGCAAGACACCGCTGCCAATTAAACCAACAGAGGCTCCTCTCGGTCTCTGGACGGGCCTGGACGGCCCTGGAAGCTCCGTCTTTAGCAGGCCTGAGCCAAGCCCACTGTTTAGAGCACAGAGACTCGTGTAGTGAGATTACTGAGCGCAAGCTCATAAAGACTGTAATTCATTCAGCTGTCCTATTCTCCTGTCACAGCAGGAGAAGAATGGGGAGGAGAGGCAGAGGAGAGATAGGGATGTCCCGCCCCAGACAGGCTGTAAAGGAACCTTTCCCTCCTCCTTTACCTCGACGCTAATGCTTGTTATCCCGTGGTGATGCATCCGGCCTAGCAGATGTTTCTCCTGCGATAAGCACAATAATGACACCAAGCTCATCCCCTGCAGACTAGGGTGGCTTTACCCCCTAAATTTGTATGCCTAATTGTTGTTGTGTCCTTTTAAAGTGTCCATCTTAGGAGATTAGCCTTTCGGAGCCAGGGAAACAAACAATAATCACTAGACTTATGTGAGTGCGTCTTGCTTTTTGCGCCTATCCCAAACATAGAGGAACCTGTCATGAAAATGCCACTGTATTTTAATCACTGCAGCAGAGGATAGCAAAGAAAATATCTTTGTTAAAAAACTCACAACCTGACAACACAAACGAGTTCATTGAAAGGAAACAAAAAGAACGAAAATAAGCCATTCATAGGTGTAAATGACTCTGGTTTATGTAGACAATGTATGTCCAAAATATGCATTAATAGTATTAATAAGGAGTTTGTTCCTCTTTGCTGCAGTAACAGTCTCTACTCTTCTTTATGCAAGGCTTTATGCAAGATGTTGGGACACTGCTGTTGTGATTTGATTGCATTCAGTCTCACTGGTGAGGTCAGGAACTGATGTTGGATGATTAGTTTTGGATCAAAAACCCCAATCCAACTCAACCCAAAGCTTTTTCATCATTCCAACTCATGCCAAAGGTGTTCAATGGAGCTTCATCGCTCCGACTCATCCCAAAGGTGTTCAATGAGGCTTTGTCCCTTCAACTTATGCCCAAAGTTGTTTCATCATTCCAACTAAATCCAAAGGTGTTCAATGGAGCTTCATTGCTCCAACTCATCCCAAAAGTGTTCAGTGGGGATTCAGTCACTCCAACTCACCCCAAAGGTGTTCAACTGAGCTTCAATCACTCAAACTTATCCCAAAGGTGTTCAACTGGGCTTAAATCACTTTAACTCACCCCAAAGGTTTTCAATGAGGCTTTGTCACTCCAACTCATCCCCCAAAGTTGTTCGGCTAAGTTTCAATCCCTTCGACTCATCCCAAATGTGTTCAACTGAGCTTCAATCACTCCAACTCATCCCAAAGGCGTTCAATGTGGCTTTGTCACTCAAACTCATCTCAAAGGTGTTCAACTAAGCTCCAATCACTCCAACTCATCCCAAAGGCGTTCAATAGGCTTCAATCACTCCAACTTACCCCAAGGGTGCTTCATAACTCCAACTCATCACAAAGGTGCTCAGTGGACCTTCTTCACTTCAACTCATCCCAAAGGTTTTCACTAGAGCTTCTTCATTCCACATAACAGATTCCACGGCTCCACAATTCAAGGACAGGCCGACACTTGGCTTGTGTGACACTAGGCTTGTTTGCAGCTTCTAAAAAGTGTCTCATTCTACTGCCAGTGCTTATCTACTGAAAATACATTCTTCACATTATTGAAATGAATATTGTGAATATTGAACTGGACATTTTTGGGCATATAGCGTACCAACAAAGCACCAAGCTTCAGGAAATTTTCATGTGATGTCACCCATAGTGCTTTGGGGAAACCCATCAAATGCTTGTAGGAGGGGACAGTCAGTTTCCCTCTGCCCTCTGCCATGAGACACTCAGCAGACGGGCACTCAGCCTGACCAGCCCAATGACACATAGGTCAACAGCAGCAGCAGCAAGGCAGACAAGCAGCAGTGAGAGATGTGCTGAT